ACTGAAAGTTTGCTGGTTTGATTGCCAGTCAGGGCACATACCCAGGTTGAGGGAATAGGAGCCTTTAAGTCCTTTACCATAAAGCCCTTTATTTTTTATTTTTTTTGAAAATAGGGGTGAATAGAGTATATTTTGAATATTTCCAACAAAAAAATAGGGAAAATAATTCCGGAAGTTATCAAGATTCACTCCAAAACTTAGTCTTCTTATGAGTGTGTGGGTTAAATCTGCTATCTATAAGTCAGATACTATTGAATTTCCTTAATCAACTGAGTAATATGTTTTTTCAACACTAGCCTTCAAAGGTAGATAGTTTAAAAGGTTTTAGTTAAGCCCTGGCCAGTGTAGCTCAATCGGTTGAAGTGTTATCCCGTACACTGAAAGTTTGCTGGTTTGATTGCCAGTCAGGGCACATACCCAGGTTGAGGGAATAGGAGGCAGCTTATCGATGTTTCACTCTGACATTGATGTCTCTCTCTCTCTTCCTCTCTCTCTAAAATCAATAAAAAGCATGTCCTCAGGTGAAGCTTAAAACAAGTTTTTAGTTAAAAAGTTCATTAGATCAGATCTGGCTAATATGCTTCTTTTCTAGCTTAATTCTCTCTTACTCTAACACCTCCCTTCATCCCAGTTCTTTTGTTTTTAGATCAGTGATTCTCAATCTTTTCTTTTGCTACTGCAACTTACTGAACAGATTTTTTTACAGTAACAATGATTCACTGAAGAATTGATTCTCAATAATAAAAAAATCTTTCTTCATTTTAACAGAATTCTAATGTAATGGTGTTTTAAATACAATGAAATCAATTCCTTTACTACTAAATTTCCAAAGACTTTATATGTCCATGCTCTATCAATGTTCTAAAGGAATATTCAGTATATGCTGTTTCCCAAACTTAAATGATCAAATTTCACACCTCACCCCCTTGTTCCCTCCAGTACCACTCCAGGCACACATTAGATGATCCCTTCAGGTTATAATAAGTTCTTAAATGTGCAGAGTCTTTGACGCAAAGGTTAAGTTGTTACACAGTATAAGATGTTTTTTTATTCAGCGGTATTATCTAAAAAGTGAAAATGCATGCACATCAGAGACCAATTAGCTAAAAATTAATGAAGTACACTGCAGGAAGCAGCCCATTGTCTTCACTAGCAGAGAAGTGCAAACAAGGATCCCAGAATGCTGGTGAACCTTGAACCCATGGCAAGAGCCAGAGTTATGCACCGATTGTCTAGTCCTGACAATGGGGGCTCAAGCTATTTCCTGATCAAATACAGAGTAAATCCTTAATATTTACTGACCTTTAAGATAGTCTGTCTGCTACCGCAATTGCCTGCCTGACTAAGGGCTTTATGTGTATCCAAAGTTGAATAAAAGGTTGGCGAGGCCTGGGCACCAGTGGAAGTCCTTCCCCTTGAGTTGGGCTTGCCCACCTGGCCCCCCAATATTTCCAAATTATCTCTTGTCTCGTCTCTTTCATTTGCTTGCAGCCCCTCCTCCAGATCCTGAACCCTGAACCATGCAGGACATGGGGGAACATACACAGCACACACTATATCTTAAGGCAGATCTCGTGCCCACTGTCTCTTGAAGCTCCTCATACCCAAAGAAATATTCAAATATTACTCAAAAACTATTGGTGTACTGAAAAAATCGCAAACACTTCCACTTAGCTGTAGTCACACAATGAACATCCTATGAGTGTTTTTTTCTGTGATCTGGGGTATACATGGGCAGAGGAGATTTTTAAATCATGGGCTATATTTATCCACTATCAACAAAATAGGGAAATGGAGCTGAACCTAGTCTTTTCCTTCCCTCCCTATAATTTCCTCTGTTTCTAATTTTGTAGCAATCAAGTTTCAACTAGTTAATCAAATGTCTTTTGTGTGGCAGGTGCCAGGGTGTTTGTTTTCATTAGTGTACCAAATGCCATATTTAGGAACTTGGCCTTTTGGTTAACTGGCTACAAGCATGGCTTTAAACCATTAAATGTGTTTATTTAAACTGTGCATGTATTTTTACATCTCCCTATCCAAATAATCAGGATGTGGTTATCTGTAAGATGATACATTAGGACTTTTTTCCTATATACACCCAAGCACAAAAATATATGCCTCAGACATAATCATCAATATGGTAAACACCAGTCATCCTGTGCCATTTATAAGATCGCAGAGATGGAGAAACCAGGTTAGGAAAATGTGCATAAAAATAGTTAGAGGAAATCCACATGGAAAGGCTTATAAAATTGGGCAATTTTATACTTTGTAACCTGTTTTTAACATGATAAAAAATGAGGAAAGGAAAACATCACAATTGTGGTTTATCTTTGATTGAATGAGAGAACTATTTTAAAGAGAGAGGGAGATGCCAGAAATATGAACTAATTTTTAAAATAGTTATGTTTTTAATATATCTTCCTTTTTATTCAGGAAAATCAAAGAGATAACAAAAACAGAAGGAAAAAAATATGATTCAGTGCTTGGTTTTTTTGAAGGCATAGATAATGCAGTTTTTGGATGGTATTTTTTACCAGATTGTTGCATTCTTTCATGTTATTTTTCTACTGTCTCAATATAGGGACATAATCATGATTTATTCTTTTTATACTTACCATAAAACTCAGTTCAAATATCAACTTTTTAGGAAGAGAACACAGAATTTACTGTCGGTTCCCAGAAAGGGTAGAATACAGAGACGCAGTTATGACTAACAGTGTATGACAAGATTCCAAAATAGGAATTGGAGATATAATGAAGAACTAGTTTAGACTGCATTACATGAAAATTAAGGTTATCTTTGACAAATAAATGTTAAGGACAATGCTAAAGTATTTTATCTTCGTTTTCAGTCTGTATATACATATGCATGGTTAATACAGATGCTACTCTGTCTATATAAAACACTTATTTGCCTATTTTCTCCAACATAGCATTTATTACTAAAATCTACTGAGGTTTCATAGTAACAATATTTTAAGGAAGTGTCATAAAGAAAATCTTGGGTCATACCAAAAAGAATATAGTTGCTAAAGACATATTTAAATATATAATATCTCATATATGTTCTTTCACGAATAAACTATAAATACTATATGAAATAAAAAGGTTAAACATGAATGAATCCAACTCTCTCAAAGCTCTTATGAAGTGGGAACTACTCCTGACTTCACAAGTGTGAAAAATAAAGCTCAAGTAGGTTAAATGGTACACACTCAAGGTCACACTAACACTGAAGCAAAAATGAGACACAAATCGTTATTCAGATCCATCCTAGAACACCTTTCTTTTTTCTCCACATGATTTTTTAAAGGAAATAGGAGTTTACTGAGACTTCTCATTCATAAAGGTGGACTGGGAGACTTCACAGTGCCATACTAGGTGGCGAAGGCAAGCCTATTCTGTTGTAACTCACAGCCCATGATCTTCCCTCCCCCATTACCAGTGGCCAAACTGGCAGTCAGCGATCTGATATAGACCATAGATATGCTTTAATTGGATGTTATAATGGTTTTTAATGTTAAAAAGTCATAAATGTATAAATGACACATCTTTGTGCTTACCATACAGACACACATATGTATGCTAAGTTCCTTAGGTTTCCTCCATAATCTTTGCTCCTCACTCCCCCCGTGGCAATCATAGTCATGAATCAAATTCCGTTGGTTTACACTTTAATTATATGTATAGATTTCTAAATATGTGGAATTACTTTGTGTACTTCCAGTTTAGGTAAATGGTAGTATGCTATATATAATGTTCTATAAAATCTAATTTTCCCCAAAACTATATTTTTGAAATCCATGAAATATTTAGGTCATTTAACAGCAGATACATATATGTTTAAGTCATTTGCTTTAAGTCCATGTTAGGAATATACTTCAGTTGATGAATCCATTACCTCTTCAGTAGGTTAGTTGGGTTGATTCTAATTTTTTATAATATGTTTTTATGATTTTTAGAGAGAGAGAGAGAAGGAGAGGAAGAGACAGATAGAAACATCTATGAGAGAGAAACATCATCAATTGGCTGCCTCCTGCACGCTCCCTACTGGGGATCAAGCCCGCAACCTGGGCATGTGCCCTGAACAGGAATATAATCTGACCTCCTGGTTCATAGGTCAACACTCAATCACTAAGCTACATAGGCCAGGCTAGTTTGATTCTAATTTATTACTATTCTAAACAATGAGGCTATGACCTTTCAGATATATGTCTCTGTATAAACTTGGGCTCATTGTTACTTAATTTTGTGTCTAGTTATAGAATTTTATTAGTCAGAGTTATTTAAATTTTCCAAGAACTGATTTGTATATGCTTTGAAAATATATTTCACTTTTAATTTGTTTTTATTTTGTTTATTGTATCTTATCATAAAGAATTTTTCAATTTTGATATAAATTTTGCTTAAGAAACCCATATATATCAAGGACCTAAAGATATTTTCCTATTGGATCTGTGGTATCTATGACATTTTTAATTTAAATGATTTTACACAAAGCATATCCTCTTTGGTTCACACAAACCTCACCAGATCATTCTCTCATACCGGACCAATTTTACACATTTCCCCTTAGGTACATGAGACTAGACAGTAGTCCCAGGATTAGACAGTCAAGAATAAAATTATACAGATTTCTCAGACTGTATTCTCTCATACCGGACCAATTTTACACATTTCCTCTTAGATACATGAGGCTGTAATCCCAGGATTGGACAGTCAAGAATAAAATTATACAGATTTCTCAGACTGGGGTTACTTTGAATTAAATTAATATTATAGCTGTACAACTCCAATCTACATTTCCATGGAAATGAAGCCATGATAGAATTCATTCTGGGAGATTGACAGCTTCTATTAACTGTTATTTAAGTTTTACAAAGTAGAAGTTGAATAATTTAGTTCATCACCTGAATATAATATGCTTTATAGGAGTTTTGTTTCCTATCTTTATATGCCAAACTAGTAATGTTAACCCTGGTATATGTGACCCTTAGATGCTGGACTGGAGGTTGGCAAGTGCACATTTTATCCTGGCTGTGACATTGATGCTGTGGAGCTCAGGAAAGGTGCTGTCAGTGGATGCAGCAACTGAGGTACTGGGAACTAGCTTAAGGGACCAAATATATTGTCTATGAATATAAGCCATTTCTATTAATGTCATACTTTTATAACTTGGATGAACTACAAAAGGGCACTATATGCAACAGATGAATAAACAAACAGGAAAATTTACATGGGGCAACAAAGTCATTGGGAAAGCTTGGAATCATAAACACTCATTAATAATATTTGTTAATAAATCACATGGATGGAAGTGTAAGTCCCTGAGGGCAGAGACTACTAGATTTTGTTCATTTTTGTATCCCTTAGGTCTAATGCAGTATATAGTGAATGCTTAGGGCTTGAATCAATAAGAAGTGACTGAGTGATGAAAAAAACAGCATGAAGTTTAGTGTTTTCTGAATTAATTCCATAAAAATTTATCAGTACTAACTATGAGAAAAATTTATTGAGTACTATGAGCAAAATACTGGGGTAGGCATTGAATAGAGCCAATAAAAGACCAATTAGACATAGTCATTGCCCTCAAATTACTCACAACCTAATATGCATTACAAATATATTGTAATAAATCCAATGCAAAGGAAAATGTAATGACTGTAAGAATCAAAGTATAGCTAAAATGCTATGGGAATGATAATAAAGGATACAGTTGTTACAGGGAAAGAATCCAAAAGAATGATCCATTAATATACTAAATTTGAGAGGCGGGCATGGAGCTTTGTTTAGGGGTGTGTGTGTGTGTGTGTGTGTGTGTGTGTGTGTGTGTTGTTTTTCTTTCATTTCTGTTGGGTATACCTCACCTCTATATGTTTTTATCCTCAAAAGTCTGTCTGGATCATAACTCCATGAGAAATCAAGTTTCATGACAGGCATGTCAGACAAATATAGCAAAAGTTAAATGCATATGATTACACATGTTTGAGGTGAATAGAATCACCTTTCTTGCCCGATAGGCTTTTGATGTTGGAATCAGAGATGTGCAGTCACCACCCACAGCCAGGGAAGAAAAATCAGCAGCTGATCTGGCAGCAAAACTCATGCTTCTTGACGAACTTGTGTCTCTGGAGAATGATGTGATTGAAACCAAGAAGAAAAGGAGCTTCTCTGGTTTTGGGTCTCCGCTGGACAGACTCTCAGCTGGCTCTGTGGATCACAAAGGCAAACAGAGGTAAGTAAGTGAACAGTTGCACCTACTAAATATTTTGAAAGTCAGTACATAAATGTTATGTGTAAATATTTATATATGGATTTATAATAGCATACATGCATATATACAAAACTAGAGGCCCAGTGCATGAAAATTCATGCACTGGAGCAGGGGTCCCTCAGCCGGGCCTGCCCCTTCTGACAATCCGGGAGCCCTCAGGGGTGGCAGGCGACCCGGCAATCAGGGGTCACACCTCTGCTGCTTCCACTGCTGGCAGCGCAAACCTCGGCCTGTCTGGTTACCTGAGCCTCAGGTGGCCCTGGGTGTCTGGGCAGCCACCATCCGAGGCTTATCTGTGCCTCGGGCTGGCCCTGGGTGGCTGGGGGGCTGAGGGTACTGGGGGACTCTGGAGGCAGGCACCCCAGTGAGACTAAGGGAACTGGGAGCAGCCATCTTGTGGCTGTGGGCACCACCATCTTTGAGGGTGTGGCAGTCAATTAGCATATTCCCTCCTTATTGGCTGTGGGTGCTGCCATCTTTGCGACAGCATGAGAGTCAATTAGCATATTTCCTCTTTATTAGATAGGATATGTATTGCATAAAGATTATAGTTTTATATATATAGATATATAGATATATATATCTAGATA